TGGGGACATGAGAGAGGTTTATAAAGAAGAAGAGGAGGAGATTGGATTTATACCCCACCCTTCACTCGGAGCCTCAGAGCCGCTTACAAACTCCTTTCCCTTCCCCCTCCCCACAACAGACACCCTGTGAGGTAGGCGGGGCTGAGAGAGCTCTGACAGAAACTGCCCTTTCAAGGACAGCTCTTGTCAGAACTATGGCTTGCCCAAGGCCACCCAGCCAGGTGCAAGTGGAGGAGTGGGGAATCAAGCCCGGTTCTCCCAGATTGGAGTCCGCACACTTAACCGCTACACCAAACTGGCTCTCGTTGAATTGATGCATATAATGATGCACAGGGTAGGGAGAGCTGACAAAGAGATATTTTTCTCCCTCTCGCGAGATACTAGGATTCAAGGGCATCCAGTGAAGCTGATGGGCGGTAGGTTCAGGACCGGACAAAAAGAAATAGAACTTTGCACAGAGAGTGATTAAAATGTGGAATTTGCTGCCAGAGGCGGTTGTGATGGCCACAGGAATAAACAGCTTTCAAAGGGGATTAGATAGATTCACGGAGGATCAGTCCATCAATGGCTACTAGCAGGGGTGTAACGAGGATTTATTTTTATTTTTTACTTTGGAGGGCATTTAAATAAGTCAGGGGCATGCGTGTCTCTTCAGCAGATGCCGAAGGGAAACACAAGATTAACTCTGATTAGGAGGTCTAGAGCATCGGCTCCAAGTATATAAAAGCAACCTGATGAAGCATTGGGGGAAACAGATTATTTACCTGGGAAATCTGTATTTTTCACAATGAACATTGGTGGGGGGCAACCTTTGGTTAGTCACTGTGGTCCATTTGTGGCTTGAACCCCCCGGAAGTTGGCAACCCTAGGCCTACTAAATGCAATCACATGAGGGATGTGCCACATGTCCTTCTCCGGATTGCGTGAACCAGCTCTCCATTGGCTGTCAAAGAAGTCTTGGCAGGGGCCTGTGAAATCTTTCACAAGTAAGACTCTCCAACTGACCTTTCCGGAATATCAGCCTCCGGTTGGATGTGAGTGCGCAGACCGTCTGGTTCGGATTGTAGTTTTCTTTCTCCGTGTTGGTTTTCATCTCGCTGAATGAACATTTCACGCAGATTTCATCGATCCCGCTCTCGCTGGTGTTGACCCCTAGGAAGGCGCTTACTTTCTCCACCACGTTTGGAAGATCCTGAGACAAGTGGACAACAGATGGCGTGATCCATCACACATCTAGCACTCTGTTTGGCCCTCCACTGAAATGGCTGGGAGAGTCGGGGTCGAGGGAGACACCGCGACCGGCTCCGGGTTGGCTGGGAAGGCCTGTGATAGGTAGGTGGCCTGCCCACCCCCTCCCACCCAGGACGGGCCGTGCAGTGGGTGTTAGAGCCCGTGGGCAGCAGTTTCTCACTGCATCCCAGGGTTGAGGGAGACTGGGAGAGCACACCAAGATTTTTTTTTGGTAAACAAATTTTTTTTTTCAATAGGAACTTAACATCCAACATTAATCATTTGCAATTTTCCATTGTTTACCCCATTCCCATTACCTCCCCTTCCTCCTGTGGCTTCCCGCAATGCTTCCACCCTTCCACCCACATTACAGTATATCATCAATTAAATCGTTTTTCTTATCACTACCGTCTCAAGATAACATCAGTTAACCTAATATTGTTCTAAATGGGATTCACAAGGGATTCACTCTGGATGGATGTGCTCACTTCACGTATCATATTCTACATGCCTATTCTATTGTATCTCGAATGCCGAACCTCTTGTGAATTGATAGATCCAGATAATGGAGCCAGGTACAGATAGAGGGTGTTCTTAGACAGACTTGGGGGCTCCCCGGGTTTGCAGGAAAATGAGAAAAGTAAAAAGAAAAAAGAAAAAGAAAAAAAGAATTGGGGTTGAAATCCCCTCCCCAAAATAAATTGTTGTCTGCACTTGCACAGAAAATGCGCAGGAGCATCTCCATGGACCAGAAGTGAGTGGAGGGGGAACTGGAGTCTCATGAGTCCCTGCTTGTTTAATACTGGGCGATGCTGCATCTAGCTTTCGGTCCACATTTTCTCAACTGGGAGGGGAAAGTGCAGCTCAAAACCACATCCCAATACCTCGGGGCCAACGCTGTACTGACTGCAAAGTCACCCCTGAATGGCCATAAAACGGCCATGAATCTATGCATCCCAGGATCAAAGAACTTGAAAGAGGCATGGTGTGTGGAAACTACTATAAAACCTGATGATCGAAGGAAGTGAAAGCAGTATGCAATGCAGAGGGGCATTTCTGTTCCAATCTGGGTTTGCTAAAACAACGGAGGGGAAAGAAGAAGATGAAGAAGAAGAGAAGAGGTTGGATTTATACCCCACCCTTCACTACCCAAAGGAGTCTCAGAGCAGCTTACAAACTCCTTTCCCTTCCCCTCCCCACAACAGACAACCCTGTGAGGTAGGTGGGGCCGAGAGAGCTCTCGACAGAAACTGCTCTTTTTCAAGAACAGCTCTGACAGAACTATGGCTTGCCCAAGGACATCCAGCAGCTGCATGTGGAGGAGTGGGGAGTCAAACCCAGTTCTCCCAGATTAGAGTCCGCGCACTTAACCACTACACCATACTGGAAAGCCAATGCAGAATCAGCCACTAATCCTGATCCTCTGGGAGGAGGAAGACTGGTCATTTAAATAATGGGTTGGATCCAGAGAGCTTTTTTGCTCACTCTGGCCTATTATTGTCCCTGCTACTTGCCCCCGTTCCGACATGGCTTTTGTCCACGCAGGTCCCATGATCCTCAGTATAGCCTTTTTTGTCCCGTTCGACAGTTTGACCCTTTAGTTTCAAAGGGCTGGATTCTACAGATTTGTTTCTCTGTTGGCGTCGCTTCCTTCAGTATCTGGTGAAAGCGCCATCCAATCCGAGCGGCTCGATGAGATCCAACACAATAGCTTTCAGGTCTGGGTAATTTTTGTTTGTTTGTTTTTTAGGGGGGGGGGTCTTGACATTTACCTTTTTCATGTCTTCGTAGAACAAGAACAGGGTGCTTTTGTCGGTCGTGTTTTCCTCCCAGCTTAAAACGTGATCAAACCAGGATCCACAGACAACTGTAAAGAAAGGAGACTAAGATTCGGTTGAACTCCCTAGAGCCCGTGGGCCCAGATTAAAACATGGTTTCAAGATAGATTGCCAAGCTCCAGGTAGAACCTGGAGATCTTCCACTGTTATAATTGATCTCCAGACGACCAAGATAGTCCCCCTGGACAAAATGGCTTCTTTTAGGCA